CACAAACAAAGCAGGAGAACATTTCTTTTATAGACGGCTTTTAATAATCTGTTAGTAAGTCAACGACATGGATTCAATTTAATTTGTAATGTGACCTCAGAGACTGATTTCTGCTTTTATCTGCTCAGCAATTTAAAAAACTTTTTTATATATTAAGAAATAAAGTCTGCAACTCTTCAATTTAAGTTTATTTTCAGTTTCCAATCAGAGCTACAGAAACATTATATAATATATTTTTTCTCATACACTTTATTTTTCATTGATTGAAAGTTCTCCTTCATACTGACCTCATAACCTGAGAATTTGAACTTTGACTCCTGCACCTGAGTGACCTCCTCCTCTACGTGCTTCATCAGCTCAGTGCCGATGGCGAAACTGTGACTCTGGAGACGGAGAGACGGAGAGAAGGTCTGAGGAAATGAAACGGATTCAGGAGTTTGTGATTGGCGGCTCTGACTGTGAATCCTCTCACCTTGTAGAACTCCAGGTTTATTCCCTGGAAGTTGATCGGGATCTGGAAGCCGACGGGAATCCGCAGCGGCTCCGGGGACTCAAACTGAGGACATTTGCCCGACTGCATCACCGAGACACAAAAAGACCATATTATTTTTATTGAATTAGGATTTGCATTAGTTTTGAGTGCTCATGGATGTGTGGAGTCTTTATTTAGGTTAGAAATCTCTTTTGTGATTAACTGAATTAATTATTAATATTATTATTATTATTATTACACACACACACACTCACCTCTTGTGGTTTGACGATGTAATCACTATCTGCAGCATCATCCCTGTCGCTGCAGCTGTGATCCTGAGCGTTCCACTGACATCCCCATTCACTGGTCACACACGCTATACACCTGAAAACACACAATACACCAGTGTGTGATACAAGTGTGAGTACTGTATATCTGTGTGTGTGTGTGTGTGTGTGTTTTCTAACTTACGGTGTGTTTTGGTTCTTCCTGACTGTCGCAGCACAGTTGTAGAAGTGATACTTTCCAGACGTCACCTCGATTTTGTCGTTTACCAGAACTTTAACTGGGACGGACACGTAGTCTACACACACACACACACACACACACACATACACACACACACACACACACACGATAAATAAATATTATAAATGTATTTATTAGTGATAAAAACATGCCACTTTGTTTAGCTTAGCATAAAGACTGGGAACAGGGGGAAACAGCTAGCCTAGCTTTGTCCATTTACAACTCACAGTGAAAGTTTTATTTATTCTAAATTATCTAAAAAAAATCTTGATGCCTTTTTGAGTAAAAATACAAATAATAAAAACAACTTCCTCATGTGAGCTCCTACCCTGCTGCTCCGGAGTGGGGGGGATTTCCACAGGGTTGGGCAGCGAACACGTGACCTGCACCCGACTGCCGAAGCTCACCACGGCTCGAGTGACGAAGGAGCCGAACATACAGCTGAGGATGTCGGACTCTCTCAGTCTGGGGAGGGTGGGGATGGTGATGTCCACCTGGAGGAGGGGGAGTTAAAGAGAGAGTGAGAGAAGAGAAAGAGTGGAAGGGAGACGTGGGAGAAGGAAGAGGAAAATTATTAGCTTTCACCTCATATCGGTGGAAATTGGTACATTTTCTATGAATTCAAGCGTTTGTAGGTAAAATAAAAAATGAGAGTCAACACTCGTGCATCTTTAGTGACCTGGCACTGATTCACCTTTTACATTTACCGGAAATTAAACTGGTGAAACAGAGTCTGGGATATTTTAAAATTAAGTTTTGGTCAATTACTGAAATACTTAACAAGGTAACAGGCAAATATTCTGTAAATTCATCTTCATTCACTGGTACAGAAAACACAACGGCCTGATACAAACACACTGAAGTGTAGAAACTGAGGTATACGTGACGAAGCATCTGTGTGTGTGTGTGTGGTGCAGTAATAATTACTATTCATCTGTGCAGTTCAAACAGCAGCGTCTCATTAGTCCTCGTCGACCTCCATCGTTTTAATTTCACTGCTGGAGTTTTAATTTGTAACTTTTTGAACTTTTTATCTCTCAGGCCGGAGACGAACAAACTCACTTAACGTCTTTCTGAAGAAGGTGAAGCTGCATGGGACAAAAGTTTTCCGACTGTCTTATCAGATTAAAATCACAAACTGTGCTCTGTGGTTCCAAACTCCCTGATTAGGATGCAGCAGGTTCATGTGTGTGGTTAAAACCTGGAGCCTTTTGTTCTACACTGACACCGAAGCATCTCCGAGGAAACAGAGTCCAGATTAAAACCCGCTCTGTGAAACAAGCCGTGACTCAAGCAGCGCTGCAGACGTGAGGCGCTAACGACACGTGTTGAGAGAACCGCCTTAGAGTCTATGATCAGCTAAGTACACGAGACTTCACCGACACCACGACAAGACAAACCTCTGCCAAAATGTTTGTGGTTCTGAGCTGCACTGAGGTCTGGACACGTTCCTGAACCGTTCTGGAGGGGCTGGATCTGAGGACACAAATGTCTGACTCAGTTGCTCTGGATACGTTCTGGAACGTTCTGGAACGTTTCCTGACAGCCTCAGATTCAAATGTCCAGAAAAGGTCAGAGTGACTCCAGGTCAGAAACACAAAAGAGGAGTAATTAACTACGCACACACACAGACGAGGAGACTCCACAGGTTTTGGTTTCTATAATAACAGTGTCGTTGTCGTTGGTGAAGTTTCTCCTGAGATTCAGTGAAACGTGGCGTCATCATCAGTTTCTGACTGTGACACAACACTGAGCTGAATCAGCCTGAGAACGTGTTAAAGGACCCGTCAGCACAAACGCTTTCTATTCTGCATAATAAAACTGTACAGGAGGAAAACTGTGAATTATAATTTCTCTCTCCGCCCAGGGCCCCTGGAGGGGCCACAGACCAGAGGCTGAGAAGCTGCTGACGGTAAGACGCTGCCGGTGAACGCCAGTCGAACGGTTTCAGGAACGTTCGGCTGGTTCGAACGAAGCCGAGCTCAGCGGGGACTGAACTCAGCTCACGGAGGAACAGCGTCGCTCGTACCTGCTGCGTCTTCCTGCAGCTGAGGTTGGGCGGGTCGAACGCCTGGATCTGGACGCACTGCTGATTGGGCGACCACAGCCAGGTGTTCTCCTCCGTCGACCTGTCGCACTCCTGCTTCCTGGTGCACCTGTCAGACGAGGAGGTGGGAGTAATGTCAGACTAACTGTGAACGTGACAGATGTGGAAAGAACATCAGGAAACGAGATGAACAATAATCCCAAAGTTAAAAAAGTTAAAAAAATTACGACATTTCAACCTTTAGCTGTTTGTTCACTAACGAGGAAATCAGGTCTGATGGTTTTGTCTCTTCCCTCAGCGTCCCACGCTTCACTTAATCTTTCCATTACAATTTCTTCTTGATAAAACTCAAACTTTTTTCCACCTCAGTCAAGCTTAAAAAACACATTTCCAGAATTTCCTGCGTTTCCACTGCAACACACCAGATGTGTGTTGAAACCTCGACGCTTCCAGTGAAACACAGAGTGACTCACCGTCCCTCCAGGACACACCAGCCACAGTACGGATCCTTCATGGAGACGCAGGACTGACAGTCAGTCTTCAGGTGACAGGCCTGGACTGGAACCTTGGTGATCTGCACGTACACACACACGTCAGGCTTTTATTATGAAAGAGCTATATATATATATTCATAAGCTTTCTTTAACATTTCGTGAATTTCTGAAAAATCTAAGAAAACAATCAAACACATGTAGCGTGTTTATATCTTTGCAAAGGTGATTTGTGTATATATGCATATCTGATATCAATACACGTAATAAAGTGATGAAGTGGCCGATCCCCGAACCCTCCAAACAGCTGTGGACATAATTTTCCTCCCTGACAGGAAGAGTCTGGTCTAATAAATCTTAATGAGCAGATGGAACCAACTCCAAACTTGACTTGATTAAAGTGAATTGCCCTCTTGAAGCGCATTCTAATTAATTCATTTCTCAATCAATAACGTCAATTCCAGGCCGTCGCGGCGGCGGAGAATGATGGCGAGCGAGCGATGAAAGGACAACGTAAAGAAAGACAGATGACGAGAGGAGAGAGCGAAGAGGAAAAACAAAGAGAGCGAGGGGATAAATCAGTGAGCGACTCCTGCGGGGTAATGCAGACGGATGTGTTGGTGTTCATCGTAGCAATGAATAAATGATCAAATGAGACAGACCCGATAAATTAAAGACTCGTTAAATCCCAGACCCGGTGCATGCTGGGAAAAAGTAGAAGTAAGCACACGACTGAGTGTCTGACCTGCTGGTCGACGTGTTAGACTGATGAACGGGGAGAGAAATGGATTTAGCAAAAAAAAAAAAAAAAGGAATAATCAATCGGAGAATTGACCTTTTTCTCCGTGGTGATGTACAGGTGTTGGAGGCTGGAATCGAACAGCAGGTTCTTGTTGACCTTGTCTCCGGTGACGTCGCCCGACGCTCGCCCGTACACCTCGGGATGATCCGACAGATGCACCTTCAGCACCTGCACAGACACAAACGTTAGGATTCAGACCGCCGGGTTCTCTCCTCCTCTCTCTGTAAACTCTGCCGCTCCGGGACAAAACGTGACGACGCACCGGACGACACGGAGCCGAGAGGAACAGTCTGTCTCAGCTGCACAGGAGCTGGACGCTAATGTCCCCACTGGACAGAGAATTCATGAGACAACTCCACACTTCATCAGTGGTGGAAGGGTCTGTCTTAGTTTTGAGATGGAATCACATGAGGTCACCACGACCTTTGACCTTGTGACCACCCAAATCTAATCAGTTAATCCACAAGTGAACTTTTGTACCAAACTTTAAAACATTCCCTTTAAGGTGTTCTTGAGATATCGTGTTGGAATATTTCCAGTAGCTACAGCTGGCGAGTCGTTACCTCTCCGGTGGTGGTGCCCAGGAACGCCACAGCGTGCCCCATCTCAACCGCCACGGCCACGGCGGTCATGTGACCCTTACGCACCAACGAGGGCTGTGACGTCAAGGCGAACTCGGCCTTGCTGGCCAGCGGGGACGGCAGGAACTCGGCTCCGCACTTGTATCTGACGGCCATGTCATTCTGACGGAGCAGAGGAGGAATTAAAAAAGGGCTCCGCTGTAGAAACTTGAATATGAACGTAGCGTTATCGCCTCACCTGGTTGTTGCTGTTGCACAGGTCCTCAGACTTGGAGGAGTACGGCGAGTAGATGGCGGCCGTGTTGTTAATGAGGCCGTTGTTGCTGTAACAGGCTCCGATTATCTCCACCAGCTGATTATTAATGGAGCGCAGAGGATACATACCTGCAGACAGGAGCGACGACAACATCATCTGTTTACTACACTTCACTGCGTTTTGTTTCAAAACACGATTTCTGTTAAACATTAGAAAAATTAAAAAACACTTGGAGGGAGAGATCCTCATTATCTCCAGTTTCTTTCTCCTCTTTGATAAAAGAAAACCAGGCGCCGAGATTCGTTCATCTGCGGCGACAAAACTTGGGAAAATTATGGATTTGCATAAAGTTAAATAATTCAACATTTAAAGGATTTTTTTTTTTTCTTTCAGTTGTTAAAGTCGACCAAACTGCTGCTGAGGGTGAAATAACACAAAGTTCTGCAGAGCCACACGGAGCCAATTAGAGCTGAGACTAACGATTGTTTTCCCCATCGATCACTCGGCTGATCAATTTATTAATTAGCTTGATGCTGCTCTTTCAGTTTGAGGAGTTTCTGTTTGTTTCACTTCAAACTGGATATTGAATATTTGGGGTTTTGACAGATGAGGAGACAAAACAAGACATTTGAAGACGTCACGATGGTTAAAACTGTGACAGACGTTTTCTGTGACTTTTTATCGTCCAAACAACCGATCGATTATTGCACCTTGTATATCTCACTCTGATATTTCAACTAATTAGTGAATATGATTATTTAATTA